GGCGTCCCGGTCTGGGAATGAGCGCCCGGGTGCGAAGGAGCGCCCCGGTCTGTGAAGGAGCGTCCCCTTCTGGGAAGGAGCATCCCAGTCTGGGGAGGAGCGTCCCGTTCTGGGGAGGAGCGTCCGGTCTGGGAAGGTCAGGGAGAACTTTAAAGTGAGTATTAGTATTTGGATTCTGTGCTCTTAGCAGATGTTTTGTGAAGTAAGGAACTGGCCAGAATAGAAAGGTTGGAAAAAGAGGAGGTTGGTTGTTTATTGGCTTAGGGTTCAAAGCAAGATTTTTATTTTTTAACTTTTGCGGTAATGTTTCTTATGTGACTACAGGGAAATGTTTCCTGAGTCTTTACTTGTGCTCTGAGTTGGTGATTTATGAGTTAAGATATTAAAAGGAGTCCATGAACTCATTTCTCATTCTCTCTTCCCTCACTTTGCGTTTTCCTGGACAGGCCAACCATACTTATCTAGAAGTCCTGAATCTGGTAACCTTATGATTCTGAAACACAACAATACCTGGACCCTTAACTTCTCGTGGATAAACTCCACGTGGATAAACCCACATCTATAAAAGGAGGAAATAGACGCTGGGATCCTTTCTAGCTTTTAAAAACTTGAGGTTTTAAGTAAGTTCCCAAGCAATCAGATGAACAGACTGTTTGCAAATTCTCCCTTAAATATCCATAAATAGAGAAATGTAAACTAAACTATGATGAGATAAATACCATTGAGGGAAATGAGATAAATACCATTCATTCTCTATCCTGTTGACAGAACCAAGTGAGGGATAAAATGGAAATGCCCACTACCACCACTATTATGTAACATTGTTACCATCAACAGAGTGAAAAGATGGGCAACAGAATAGGAAAAAATATTTGCAAACCGTGTATCTACTAAAGGGTTAAGATACAGAGTACATAAAGAACTCATAAAACTCATAAGAACTCAAAAAAAAAAAACCTGAAATAGGCAAAGGACCTGAATAGTCATTTCTCCAAAGAAGATGTATGAAAAGCCAACAGATACATGAAAAGATGCCCAATACACAAGTCATTAGGGAAATGAAAATCAAAACCACAGTGAGATATTCCCTCACCCTTGTTAGAATGGCCATCATCAAAAAGATGAAAGCTGTGACTGGGACATGATGCTGTGCACCAGAAGTTGACAAATTGTAACTGACTACAATTAAAAAAATTTTTTTAGATTAAAAAAAGATGAATGCTATATGGATGTGGAGAAAAGGGAACCCTTGTACGTTGTTGGTGGGAATGTAAGTTGGTACAGCCTCTGTGTAAAACAATATGGAAGTTCCTCAAAAAAGTAAAAATAGAACTACCATATGGTCCAGCAATTCCACTGCTAAGAATATATCCAAAGAAAACAGATATATCCAAAAGAAACAAAACCACTAACTCGACAAGATACCTGCATCCCATGCTTATAGCAGAATATTCATGATAGCCAAGACGTGGAAGCAACCTAAGTGTCCATCAGTGGACGAATGGATAAAGGAGCTGTGATAGATATACACAATGGCATGTTATTCAGCCATAAAAAATGAGGAAATCCTACTGTTTGCAACAACATGGATGGAACTGGAAGCATTATGTGAAGTGATATAAGTCAGACAGAGAAAGACAA